AACTACTACCTCCGTCCCGGTGTATAAGTCATTCGCGTAGTTCTAGGTCGATAATTTAACTATCTAAATATGTATTATATGTGACAAAAAAAATATATTTAGAAACTACATCCGTGTGGAAATCTAGTGGTATACTTTTCATGACATATAACACATATTTAATTCCTCAAATCGATGACCTAGAACTACGCGAATGACTTATACACCCGGACGGAGGGAGTACCTAATCACCCTGTAACAGCCTCACTACGTAATCATCACGTAGGTGTAGCAAAGCTCAGGCCTCCAAAAGACACCATGGTGGTTCTGTGCCAAATACTGGTTTGAACAACTATTGGAGGATCCATTTGCAAGATGGAACTTGGATCACCATTTTGTATCCTATGTGAAACTCTTGTTTTGGCCTTCATTAGTCGGACACAACAACAATGAGCTTGTATTGTTACCTTGTTGAAGAGTTGTCTCCTTGGCATTGTTCTATCCTTGATTGACTGGTCTTCGCATTCAGGATGAAAATACTTGTCCTAGACATCTATGGTTGGACCCGGCGATAGTGGGGGGAGGATGTTATCCTTTCTTGAAGGCGTTCTTGAAGGCAACCTAATCATCATTTTGTCAATAGGTGAGGACAGAAAGATAACTCGTTTTTCTTACAAAGTTGCATGTTATTTGGGTTTAGCAACAAAAATATAAAATTGTCAATAGGTGAGGGCAGCAAAGTAAACTTTTTTCTTCTTATTTCAACTCAGTTATGGTTTTGTGCATCAATAGATGCAGAGGCTCGGGCATAATCTCTTTTCTGGAGAAGCCTAAACAAGTAGTTATATTTCGAGGATTTTGCTTGGTGTGAACAATGTATCAGCTCAGACTGCCAGGAGAAGATCTCGCACATGACACCATTCATCAATCATATTGGTTTATTCTCCATAAATCCAGTGTTGCTGGACGACTGCTGGTCCATCGGCATGCATCTACTTAGCCGGTGCATCAGTTTACTGTTTGACCAGACAATTTATTCTCCTCCACAACGGTATGCACGCTTTAATGTATGAAACAGTTGATTGACTATTGACTGGTCTACTGCTCCGTGATCTCACAGTGTTCATGGCAGCATCATGTGGCGCGCAAAAATAATTAATGCATGGCAGATCAGGAGACTGAGGTGGTGACTCTGACACTGACGAGCTGGTAACATGAGAAGTAGTGGCCGGGGCAGGCTCCATCTCCCAGCAGAGGATCACCCAATCAAGACAAGTGACAGCAAACGGCAACCAATCTAGCATCGACGGTTGCAGTCTGCTATCGAAAACCATTATTTGTTTCTGCCGACCTGAGACCGGAGTTATCCAAATCCATCAGCACGAGAACAGACTGAAAAGAGCAGCGATGAGCCTTGTTGGATAGGAGTATCGATGTCGAGAAGACCAAGAGAAAAAAGGCCGCTCGCTTGTTCACTCACCACTCCTCACCGTACAGAACTAAGAGCATCTACAACAAGCGATTATCAAATCCGACATCTTATACCGGTCAAACGCCGACCTTCAAACCGTTCGGATACGTCCGAACCATGCAGTCCAGATGTGTTGTGCCATCCAACGTGGTTCTGTATTGGTCTGTCGAGTAGTCCGAATATATTTTTTGCCGCAAACTGGAGACAAGGTGAGGGGGCCGGGGAGGCTTTGCGGGCGTCCGGACCCTTCTCTCCCGCACTTTCTTTCCGATGCATGCGCCACTTCCCGCGTTGCATCAATGCCGGCCCAGTGCACACAACACCCAACATTGATGCTGTCTGATATGAGCGGACGGGAGGACATCGCTGACCGACGCGATCTCTCGGGAGCCACTGCTTCAATGCAGACACAACTTTCTAAGGAACCAACTCCGCCTCCTACGCCGCATTGAAGCGGCTGGCTGTCCTTCACATGGCCTGGCCGAGGCTTTATAAGTCGTGCTCCAGCACCGTCCACATCGCAATCTCCGCATCGCTCTGTTCGTCGTCCTCGTCCTTCCCTTCTTCCCTCTTCCTCCTCAGCTCCAGCTATGGGCAAGTTGTGGGCCTGAGCGCTGGCAGGCGGCGGCTTCGGGGCGGGCTCCGGGGGATTGTGGCGACGGCGCCCTCGAACTCTGGGTCGTCGTCCTCATCGGCGGACGGCTCCTCGACGAAGGCGAAGATCGTCATCTCCTCCAGCAATGAGGAGGACCAGCCACCGAAACAACAGTCCGCGCCGGCGATGTAGGGCACAGTGAATACTACCATGAACAAGGAGTACGAGCAGCACGTGAACGGCCCGGTGGCGCCACCGGGGACGCTCCTCCCCATGAAGCCGGAGCCCGCATCCCCTCTGTGCTCTCCGCCGCGCAACTGCGACGTCCAAATCGGCCGCCGCGTGAAGGAGGAGCGCCTCTTGCCGCCGCGTGAAGGAGGAGCGTATCTCTCTGTCGCCCAGGTGCAAGAAGGATGAGCGACATGTTGAAAATATGCTCTAGAGAAAATAATAATTGTATTATTATATTTTCATATTCACTATTAAGTTTATGTTTCTATGCTATAATTGTATTGGTTCGTGAATATGAGATTAAGAGGAAAACCCAAATACATGTGTGAAAATATAAACACCAAGTGATCCCTAGTCTAGCCTCTAAGACTAGCTCTTGTATTGATTGATGATCTTGTTTACCTGATCATGAGCATTGTTATAATAACAAGGATGCCAATAATGAGAACACATTGTTACGCGAACAATGGTGTTGGATAGACCCAACTTATGAATTACTGAGAGATGTTCTCGTTGTTATGTTATCGTACTTCATAACTTGTTCACGCTTGCATTGTTCCTTAGACTAGTGGTGGATGTATGGTAAAATCCTTGGGCGGGCCAAACATGCTAGATAAAAGCTGACCTTAATAATTTTTCGATTAAGGCCCCTCAATCCTCACTATTTGGTGCTACGTTGGGCGGGCCACGGATGGGTTTTGCCCCATCGTAGCTCCGCCCCTGCCTTAGACCATGGGAATTGCATATCAACGTGCTGGATGGATACTTTCGGGTTTACCACATATCACTCCATAGATGGATGTGAATACATGTGACTTACGGGTATTCCAGAAACGTATGTCTCGATGCAATAGTTCAAGACTGGGATTTTCTTCTCTCACGGTAGAGAGATACTCTCCGGGCCCACTCGATGTTACGGTATCATTATCGACTGTCAAGACACTTGTGATGGCGAAAACGGGATATCGGAACATAGACACGAGTAAAGAGAACGAAATAGGTAACGAGGATAACTTGTATAGTGATCAAGGAGTTGATCACGAGGATACCAGTAATCTCTCCTTGGACTTCGTAAACAAAGGTTCGCTTGAGAATTTCGTGAATATGCGGGAGTTAATGAGGGTGTCCAGTTCTCGCTGTTAACTACCGACGGGAAGGGGTTCTGGGTCATGTCTGCTCATTTTCAAACCTACAGGGTCACACGCTTAACAGGTTCTAGTCCTGACTATCAGAGAAATGAGAGATGAGTTAAAAGAGCACCGAAAGAGTTTCAAATAGCTCCGAAAGAGTTTCGGATGGTTTCAGAATAGTTCTAGGAATTCTGAAAAAGTATAACATGATTTTGGACAGTCTGAATCTATATATGAAAAGTTTTTGGGGTCATCAGAATGGGTTCCGAAAACATCCAAAAAATTTGAGATTTTATTTGTGGAAGGAAGTTGTGAAGGACCGTCATGAGATGACGACCCCTAGTGGGCCCCGTGGGGCCCATAGGGGGCAGCATAAAACATGTCAGGCCCTGAGGCCGAATTGGAATAGGGAGTGAAACCTTCCCTCCTCCACCAAGTGAACGAGGAGAAAGATTCCCCCTCCTAGACCAGTGCCCCTCCTCCTCCTCGCACCTATATATATGCGGGGAGGGCTCCCTCTTGGAACACATTAAATCAAAGGGACCTCGCTCCCGCATAGCTCCACGCTTTCCCGGTTTAATTGGCCCAAGTGGTTAGGCTCCTGATTAGATAGGCTCTAATCTCGGTCTAATTGGTCTAAGTGAATTAGACTCCTAATTAGACGAGAAGCGCCGCTAGGCTTTCCCGCTCTCTAGTTTTCTCACTGTTCTTCTTCCCAAACGTCGAAGCTCTGCCGGACTACTACCAGGGAACACATGGATATCTTGGTGGGGTCAGCTGCTTCGACTCTCGACTCGGTGAACTCTTCTCGCGGCTGGGAGGTGTAACCTAGTTGCGGGAATCAACGGGAACATTGAGATACATCGACTCGTCACTTCTTCCACTACTCTACACCGGCGCGTGAAGGAGGAGTGTCGTGAAGGCACGCAATCACATTCACCACTACCTCAACGGCGGTGGCTGTTTGTCGTCCCGGAGTGCCCTAATGGCGCAGAAGTACGCCGACAGGGAGCGGCGCCAGCAGGACAGATGCAACACGGCGCGCCAGGCGAAGTTCGCAGACTCCGACATCATGCCGCCACACATCGCGGCGGACCCGGGCCTGGCATAGGCCTAGGCCCTGGACCGCTCCATGGCGATGGCGGAGACGAGCAAGCGATGTCTCCGCCGCCTCGATGAGGAGATGGCCTAGTACAGCGAGGA